CAACAGTAATCTGTTTCAGTGTCAACACAGCTTCATGTTCAAATGGAAGGCATTGTGTAATAAATGACTAAATTATTTTATTGCTGCAGTTTCTCGTTTTTATTGACACGCAGTGCTGATGTGTTATGAGAATCACAAGATAATGTGTTATACAGTATATCCCTGTCGGTATAGGCATTCTTAAATTTTGAGTCATATCTGTGGATAATTTGGATGTTATTGGACCCCTTGAGATGAAGTTACAATTGGTCTTATGGATACAATTTCAAATTTGAATTTATTAAATTACCATTTTGGGGGGGGTAATTGCTGTAAGTGCTGTAAAATGTGTGATAAGGGCAAGATTTTCAGAAAAATGTGCCTGCTTTTTTCCTCCTCACCACCTCAGATACATTCTCCTCATCGCAGAGTAGAATTACACCTTCTCCTAAGTCTTCCCCAGTAATTTAATTGAATGTTCTTCTTTGTGTATAACAGGTTTGCTACATTGTTACAGTACATACCATATATGCTAGTTTTAAAAGGCTACAGCCTGTAATTGTCACTTCTGGACAGTTAAATGTATACAGTTTGATATATGGGCCTTACTAGGTAACATTTTCAATCTTTCAATTTGAATATTTTTTTATTTTAATGTTCTCTCATGCCAACCAGTGTTTCCTTAGAGGTAAACCTGGAAAAAATAACCACCAGCAGCAAGCTTTTCAGATAGGAAGACTACATTTGTGTGGCGAGTCCTTTCAAAATGATCAAGGTGAAAGATCTTTTCCAAATTAAGAAGAGTTTTTGAAAGATTTACTCAATGGTTTCCTCTCCCTTGAGTATTTACACCCCGCAAAGCTCAAAGTGGTATGTTGATTCATTTTAGTTGCCATCCGTTACAAAAATACAACTTGTGGCTCTCAAAATATAATAGGCAGCTGCCGCAAAACAGTTAATTCAATCTGAGCCACAGAACATTTAAAAGCATTGCACATAATTGAAGCAAAAATAAGCAGGTCCATCCAGCTTCTTTACCGACAGTGCAAGGAGAAAAATCTTTAGACACCTCTCCTACCCATTCCAGAATCTGTACTACTGCTTTTGCTGAACAAGACAGAGATACGTTTTAATGATGACATATCAGGTGTCTGAAGGTTGCTCTGTTCTTCTGTCATTCAGCCTTTAACGAACACAGTGGCATTGTTTTATGGGACCGTACTTTTAAAACACAATTCTGTGTGCAGCACAATATGGTAGTCATTCTCCTCAATACATCAAGGGACAAACATTTACGCTTTATAGCAGTCAAGGTGTCATAACAATTTATGTACCGAATATATCCCCATATATAATTGGGGCTATTTATATTACTAATAATATAATATCACAATTTAGGGTTTTTTTAGGTGTTTATCCTCCTGTTAACAAGAAAGAAAAGATGCCATCAAGAAAACAAAAGATTTCTTCCTTTCAACATCTGATCCTTGAGGTAGGATAAAATGTCAGACATCTCCTGTACAAAAGCAATCAAACTTTGAATCAAAAGAGGTTTTTTTACAGCTAGTCTTTTTTTGTGAGAAAGCCACATCATTATCCCATGACTGCTGGGCTTCTGCAGCATGAAACCAGATGAAAGAGCGATAGTATTGGACATCAGTTACAATTCAGATGGATTTGAAAGTTTTGGGTGTAAAACCTTGGGATTTCCCTGTACCCTATAAAAACCAATGGCATCTGAAATGAATAATATGGAGCATTATATATATTGATGCACACAAGAAATGCAACACTCAGTTCTAATGGTTTTAATTAAATATTTAAATAATATAGAATAAAAAAATACAAATGAAAAATAACTATTTTAATATGAAGCTTGACTGGCAAAATTAAAATATAATACTGATGCCAGGTATGACCTCACTATTAACAGAATCAGCATACGATGGGTCATACTGTATATAAGACCTGATAAGACTCTGGCCAGATATGACCTGATATGGCAAACAAAGGCAGGCTTGTTTTAAATGAGATTCCTCCTCACAACTTTACATTTCCAAGACCCTCATGTGTTTGACTGATCGGTAAGTGTAATGCTCACTACAATGTCTACACTGTAGACTCAAGCCAATCAAGGAAGCAACAACATTCGTCAGTGAATTAGACACTCCACCAAGATTCTGTTCCACAGGAAAATGGTTGTATTGGAAGTCCTATGCCTAGATTTTGTTTGGTCAAAAACTGACATTTTTTGTGTAGCACTTTCTTTCTTCCGCTATGTTCAACAGAGAAGATGTTCGGCTGACAACTCTTTTCAGATGTACAGTAGATGCAAAAAAATGTATTTTTTAAAGTAATAGGTTTATTCCATGCTGAAAAGAGAAGAAAGAAACCACAACGTTTTCGGCTGTGGAGTCTTCTTCAGGTGTGAGAAAGACAGGACAGTAAGCAAAGGTAATGTAGGTTAAGTATAATAAACTTTATTTTAATTATCAATTATAAGTATATTGAAACGCCTAAAGAAGTAGCAAATCATGTTCTGTCACGGGGCTGATGAACAGTATAAAGTATTTGAATGAGCTTTTGGGATTGAAGGAAAATGTCAGTCACCCTTGGATCAAAAGAAGTCACATCTCTGAGACTAAAGGAGTTTAGTTATGGGTGCTTACACATGTTGTGCAAGATTTAATTTCCTTATACAGTAGATCCTTATAGAGAAATAATGTGTCAGCCAGAAATTCCTAATTTGTAATCCACTGTTAGTGCCAGTTCAAAAATCTATTGTTAAAAAGAGCTGAGATTAGTTTTTGGGTCGACCCCATCCAATACTGGAAGGTTTAAATCCTCATTGGTCACAGGTGAAACACTTTCTGAACTAAAAATAATTAAACTTTGGAAAAACATCAAATGTAATCTGTTCCAAATCCCTCTAATGTCTCAGTAAAGCTGGTCAAAACCCAGGCTGTGTACAGAACCTTTGATACTCTTTCCCCGATTTAAAAATGCACTATTGCTAAGATACTAAAACAAAAATGACTTTGACCTTAGTGGGGACATTTACCACTTTTGATATACCTGTAATAGTAGTTCTATTAGAGGAAATAAATGTAATTGTTGGATAATCTTAAGTGCTTCACATAGTATTTTCTTGGGTTTTTTGCCATTTAAAGTTTGACGGTGCCAGTACTAGGGTGTATAATTCTGTCATCAGCCGCAACACTGCGGTGTTTTACATCACTGAAACATCTGTGACTGAAAGACTGAACTTTAGTCAACATTTTCTTTATGCTCCATAAAAGTAGCCATAAATGTCTAACAGCTCGGTCTTAAGGCTCCAAGCACACTTAGATGCTTTTGTTATGGGAATGTAATTAGCTTCTGATGCACATGGCATTTCAGTTAAAGTGTAAATATGCCAGCTTTCACTACAGTGTCTGAAATGAGCAGTGTGTGTTGGAATTAATACTGAATGGTCCAGAATACTGGTGGCAACCTGTTCTGAAACTTTGGGGACACCAGTGGTGGTATCCACAGAGATCTTGGGAGGTTCTACCAACACCCCCTTTACTAAGAGTGGCAGCACATCATGTTCCTTCTTCTGGTGTCCCTTTCCCTTTTGGGGGGACCTCTCCTCGGGCTCGGAGGGTTAATTAATTCCTTACACTCATACAGCACTTTTCTGGACACTCCACTCAAATGTGCAGCCCCCACCTGGATGATGAGACAGTACACTCACCACACACCAGCTATCAGTGGGGAGGAGAGCAGAGTGATGAAGTCAGTTCATAGATGGGGATTATTAGGAGGCCATGATTGGTGAAGGACAGGGGGGAATTAGGTCAGGACACCAGGGTAGAATCCCTACTCTTTTTCAGAAACACCCTGGGATTTTTAATGACCACAGAGAGTCAGGACCCTCGGTTTTACGTCTCACCCAAAGGACGGTGCCTTTTAACAGTATAGTGTCCCAATCACTATACTGGGGCATTATGACCCACACAAACCACAGGGTGAGCGCCCCCTGCTGGCCCCACTACCACCTCTTCCAGCAGCAACCTTAGGTTTTCCCAGGAGTCTCCCATCCAGGTACTGACCAGGCTCACACCTGCTGAGCTTCAGTGGGCTGCCAGTGGTGAGTTGCAGGGTGATATGGTTGCTGGCATTTCAGCAGGATTTCAAGATCAGGTAAGGCTCATGTAGCAAAGAGTCATCATTGCCCTCCTCAAGCATAAATATGTTTTTGCACTGTAATATTTTTCTATTTTAGGGTGAAAATTGCCACCCCCCATTATTAAAGGCCGTTTTTTTTTTGTATTTGGATGCATTGTGCACTGTAATGGACTTTGGAACTCAAGTTGATGATTAATGCAACTTCATGACACAATGTAACTTCAATGACACTTACGTCATGTATTAAATATTGATTTATAAACTACTGTGTGTTTAGAAATGTATCTATATAAGGCTAACGATTTATTTCTGTGCCCATGTACACCAACAGTGTTTTGGGTAAAAACAGGGTAAAAAAAAAATCAAAATCACAGAAATAGAGAAATAAAGATCAAAGTTAGAAAGGTTTCCCGGTTAGAAAAATTCTGCATCGATGAGCTTATTTCAAACCACCATAAAAGTAAAATGTTCACAGTGACTTGTAAAACCTTCAATTTACATCACAAAATAGACGAAAAATCCAGGAATGAGCAGTTATTAGAAGTGTACTGATTAGTTTCCTCTCTTTTCTTTACTATGTTGCTTCAATTCTTTCCTTTAAAGCCATTCTGTAATATAGTGTAAGAATGCCCCCTCATCTGTCTACTGTCTCTTTTAGTGTACAGTTACAGTTTTCTAACACACAAAAATAAACTGGCAGGAACCAGAGAGTAGCAGTGACCTTTCTGAGGATAAATTTGACATATTTTTTTACAAAATACAGTTACATGTCTGAATGTGTTTGAAGTACAAACATCAAACTGGTCCAAAAAAAAAAGTTGTAATTTATTAGCGTACTGTATGTCAGTATTTGTTTTCGTGTTAGAATAATTGTTTGAGCAATTATTCTTCTAAGTAGAAAGAAAGCTGTAAATCCTGTGTAAAAGTTATCTGAATGAACCGCATATGCTGTACACATTTGTCGCTTTATTTTGATTACAAAACAAGAAATGTGTAACTTTCTCTTGTAACACTTTCAGACAGCAAAAAAATGATATGAAAAGGGGAAAAGTTTTGTTTGAAGTCACGCCAGAGGCTGAAGAAACATATCATGGGGATGACGAGAGAAAGCTCTGATGTTCAAAAAAGACACCTGGACGCCATTCATAACGAACTGATGTACATCTTGCGAAGTGACTGACGTCGCTGAGGAACCTACGTGTACACACCCTCTTCTTAAACTCGGCATCTCTGCTGCCTTTAAAGTCCGCGACAGCCTGATCAAACGCAGGGACGGGTTCAAGTAAGGCACGTTTCTATCACACCGTACAAAGGTAAGCCATTCAAATGTTGTTTTTTTAATACTGCAACTACGTAATTTAAGCAGACAAAACTGGAAGTAGAGAAAAGTTTAAATTAAAAGTAGCAGAAATGTTGTGATGTACTGTATCAGATGCAATATCGATAGATGTACAGTACTGTGTTGCGTATTTTATTGTGATTAAAGGATAATTGGTGCTTCGAAAGTTTTAATATTAAAATGAAAATACCCATTACTTTATAGTATTCACAAACTTTGTTTAGGCTGCTTAAACATGCGAAAATCGAATTCAAATGTTAATTTTGCTCTTTTTTCAAAACGTTTTGAACTGTAGTTGAGATCTTCTCCAGCACAATGGAGAGTTGTGTAATTTCCATACATTTTTTCACACTGCGCAGAGTGAATAGCTGAAATCTTCGTTTGCCCAGGTGAGGAAGACTCACAGGCTTGGCTCTATTTACCTGTTGTACACTGAAATTAACGATAACTGCCTTGATCGATTTCTGATTTATTTGATATACTAATTTAAATTCCGGTGCACTTAGCTAATGTAACAGGACTACTGAAGAACAACACTACGTTGTGTAGTGGATTACAATTCATGTATGCGTCCGTATACTCTAAATAAGAGGCAGCTAAAGTTGACATTTATGAGGTACTGTATGCAAGTACTTGAGTGAATTCGATGTAATGTTTCAAAGGGTTTTAAGGCTATGTGTTGTTGTTGCTTTAATAACTATTATTTGATTTCCAAGCAAACCACGGTTGTGAATTCAACAGTTTAGCTGTAGCCCAAATAGAGAAAGCAATAACGATAACTTATATTTTTAGAACAATTGCGACAAATGTGCACACATTTTTACATGAAAACAAAGTATACACATACTGTGTACTGTTATACTGTGGGCATAATCATTTCATTATTCAGTGGAATGTTTTGCCATTTCCACAGTTTCAACTCGACGGCTATTTTTTTAGCATTAAACTTTCTACTACATTTTAGAAACAAAACAGTTTGTCAATAAAAGATCGAGATACTTTGTAGGTCTTGCGGACTAAAGTCAGGGAAATCCCTCTATATCATTCATGCAGATTGAAGAATGGTGTCTTCATTTTTAGACCATTCAATCCAAATACAGCATTCTGTTGTTGTTGCTACAGTAGCTTTTTATATTATTTTCATGTCAAGCTCATTCCAAACCCTTTTAATGGCATTAAAGTGTTTAGGTCAAGAAAGTCTGAAGCCAGGGCATTCAAAACCTGTTTTAGGACATGGATGTCTACTTTACCCACAAGTCACTGTCCCATGCTTTGACGCTAAAATGTCTGCTTAGAACTACTATGTGGAATCACACATGCTTTGTGTTGTCAGCAGATGACGTTCTGTGTTTCAGAACATAGTGCTCTTTCCCCTGCAGGTCTTTAGCTCCCCAATGGACAGTACCGGTGGTATCCTCAGGCTCATGCACACCCTGCTGGTCATGGGAACGATGTGTGTCCGGCCACACTTGTGTCATGGTCTGATCGACCCCCTGGCTCTGGGGCGGGCTGACCCCCAGTGTTGGGAGTCGTCCTCAGCCCTCCTGCTAGAGATGAGGAAACCGCGTATCTCAGACACAGTCCCAGATTTCTGGGACTTCATGATTTACCTCAAGTCCTCGGACAACCTGAAGCACGGAGCTCTGTTCTGGGACCTGGCCCAAGTCTTCTGGGATATCTATGTGGACTGTGTCCTCTCCAGGACCCATGGCCTGGGTCGCAGGCATCTCTCTGAGGGGAAACAGGAAATAACAGCCCTCCACTCTCTGGTGACAGACAGTAAGTAGACCATAGTATATACTGTAAACATGCTTCTTTTTTCACCTTATGTGGAATGTGAAGGAGTAAAAAGGCTTAAAGGGGATTCAAATTATGATTACAAAGTTTAGCTGGTTTAATCTTCCCTTCAACTCAATTCTCAGTCAAAAAATGCAAAGTTTACTTGACCAAATGACTTAAATATATCTTGATTCTATCACACTTGTAATAAAAAAGCAATAATTTGCACTTTTAAGATACGGTGCCTTCGGAATGTATTCACATACACACACCCCTTGGAGTTTGTTCAGAATGCATTGTGTCTTAAAAATAGAAATACATTTATATAGGATTTTTGTCCCTCATCAATGCGAATTACTGTTAAAGTCAAAGTGGAAAAAAATGCATTTAATTTAAAGGAAGTCTCTGAAATGTATTGATTTGATAATTATTTGTTATCTTTTTCATGGCACTCCACATCAAGCTCGGGTGCGGTATCAACTTTCCTTGTGCAGTCACTTTAAAATTGGAATGGAGTGCGCCTGTGGTAGGTTCAGGTGGTTAACACATTTCAGAAGAAACACACCTGTCTGTATAAGGTCCGTTAGTTGGCAATGTCTGTCAGAGAAAAAAAAATGGTACACCTGTACCATAAAGATCAAGGAGCTCTCTATACAACTCTGTGATACAATTGCCAGGATGCCCAAATCTGGGAATTCACAGAAGCCGGTGTGCGAATTGCTTTTTCATGCATTCTTTTCAGTTTGCATGGCAAATTCTGCCGTAACACAACGTTATTTGCAATCCAGCAGTTTGGTTGGATCCTACTAAATGTGAGAAGGAGACAAGCTAGGCAGAGTGTTTTTGGCGTAGCTCACCTGGCTGAGGGAATTAACAGCCTTGCCATGGAGGGTGAGGCTGCCCAGACCCCCTCAGCATTGCAAGGAATGAGCTAGGGAGCTGCTGCAAGGGTTTGGATGGGGGGAAGGAGGGATTCACTATGGGAAGTACAGGATGCGACACTTCTAGTCCAGTATATACGCAGGCGAGCGGAAGTGAACGTGATTAGGATCCTTCTTCCTGAATGTATTTAATATCTTTGTTAGTATTTCATTTGTTTAAGGGGTAGAATTCTTTCTGGAGGCACTGTATTTATGAAACATAATATGTTAACTTGAAAGCAAGCACAGCAATGACTATTGTAGTGGGGATATTGATTTCCTATATCTTTAACCTTTTGAGACTTTAATTTTTGTTTGGTGTAAATCAAGTAAGAAGTGTTCTTGTATTGTATCATACTGATAGAAAAAGAACTCCAAAATGTTGTTGTACAGCAATATGTACGGGCACATTAAAAGTCCTGACAGGTCTGTCTGTACCTACTGTATGTTGAATGTGCATGTTGAATAATCGGATGTTTTTAGGTTGTTTTACATAAGCTATGCCTATATTGTTTAATTCCATATATAAAATTATTGGTTTTATCCATCTTTCATGGGTAATAAGTGAGAAACATTCATACTATAATGGTTCACCTTGAAAAGTGACTCAGGTATTTCTAAAAAAAATATTTTTGTGTTTGGAAACTTCTTTTTTTCGTTTAGACTCAGAAAACCTTGCAGAGAGCACACATTGAATGTGGTGGAGATTTAATTTTTCAGTGGCACACAATTCACTTCTGCCTCTTTGGGAGCCAAACTATGACCAGTTCCCACTTGATTCTGCAGCCTAATGTCTTTTGACATTAACTACAGTATGGATCTAGAGTATCATCCACGACTAACCTTTTATTCTTTGACTGAGCACCAATTGTAATGGATACCCATTGCTCATATAATTATGTTATATTTGCAGAGACTTTTGATAAGGTTCTTCATTCAAGAGCAATTATAAGCAAAAGCTAATTCTGAAATTAGAAGTAGATATTCAAAGTAATGTGAGCGTTTAGTTTGAGATTGTGTATTGTCTTTTTATGAATCTAACGTCAGACTGAAACCTGTCCACTTACATTACCCTGTTCTAATACCTTTTTGTCCTAATTGTTCCTTTTACAACCTCTCCCTCTGGTTTAACATTGGCTCTGGAACATACAATAGTGATTTACAATATAAGCCTTCAAAGGCCAAATCCTTTAAAACTTGAATAGTGCAAAAAAAAAAATAACACTTAAAGAACCCAATACAGTACTGTAGTAATAAGACACATGGAATAGTTCTGAGTTGCTGTACATATAAGACTGATCTGAAACACAGATATATACACAGTATGAGACAAAAATAAGGCAAATGTAATTACATTTTCTTAAAACACCTTCTATCAATTCCATGTCAGAAGAGTGTTCGGGAATGGTGGAAGACATATACAGCATACGCAAAAGATTTCTGGATATCATAGACAGTGAAAGTGCAGGAATGTGCAGGGACAGTGAAGAGAAATCTATCATGTTTGCTGTGTACTAATTAAATTTGTATTTCAGATCAAAATATAGAATTTCAGCCTTTGTTAAAGTAAAACAGGTACCCAGGGCATGCATCAAATGTGATTTCAGCTCTCCAGGATAACCTGGAGACAGGTGACAGGTTGTGTCACCACAATATGCTTATCAAACACAATGATTCCGCTACATTCCTAAACACCACTTCAGGCATGAAGTACAGTATTACCCAACCAGAATAACAGACCACTGTATTTGCCTGAACTCTAAACTGTGTTGATTCACTACTTTTTGGGTATATGTGAATCTACGAAGAGTCCTGTTTTGACAATTTAGAATTCTGCCTTGCGTTGACTGAATTATTTCAGTTAAGACAGTTTTCAGTTAGGATAATATTAAGACACAAATGGAGAAAGTGACCTTCTTAATCCAGAAGATCAAAGTCTCTCATGCTTTTTTCAATCATTGTGAAATGTTTGGTAGAAATGAAATTTTTAGGCTTCACTTGTTAAAATTTTTAAGCATTCAGTTTTACTTTGTGTTTTGGCCCAGTTAATATGTTATGCCCAAATACTCACAATGTGCTTGTAGTTTTTAATAATAGATTTTGAGTTCTTAACTGTGGAATTTCTGTTCTTAGTGTTTCACAGATGTGTCAAAGTTCTGTTTTCAAAAAGTGTTTCCAAAAGCCATCTCTAAATTATTTTGTGGTTAAAGCAAGGTTTGTCCTCAAAAACTCTAATGCATTGGCAGAAAATACCTGCAGTCAATCAGACATAATAATAAGAAAACGATAAGAGACAGATCACAACCGTGAGACAGGACTGGTAGAACTGACTCTGCAAGAGGTAGAAAACATTTTCTGAAATGTGAAAGTTTGTGTATTCATATTCATTCACCCACAATATTTTTCACTACATCATACAGCCAAATCTCAATTAACCAGGAAAATTGAGACAAGGCTATGCTGGATTTAAGCACAGCATAGTATATAAAAAAACACAGAAAGCTATTGCACAGCCCATATACTGCTTACTGTACAGTACATGCTGGTAAATCCAAAAAGTCTGTCAGTCTGTTTTAATGCTGGTTAATGTTTTGAATAGCAATAAGCGCCGTCCTTCAGATGAGACTTAAAACCGAGGTCCTGACTCTCTGTGGTCTTTAAAAACCCCAGGGTGTTTCTCGAAAAGAGTAGGGGTGTAACCCTGGCATCCTGGCCAAATTTCCCATTGGCCCTTACCAATCATGGCCTCCTAATAATCCCCCTCTATGAATTGGCTACATGACTTTGTTCTCCTCCCCCCTACTCTGACGGCAGGCGGAGCGACACGCCGGTTGGAGTATTCTCGGTCGCGGTTAATGGCAACGTCAGCTCAAAGATTTGGTTCAAACCACCAAATGGAGACGGGCGTGCCGACAAGCGGACCCTGCTGATGTGGGATTAACGCTAGGAAAGAGAGAGAATGTTTTGAGTAGCAATATTCTTGCATCTCTGTAACTGATGCAGAACTGTGGGTAAAAGCAGCTTTGACTTTTCTGCGGATTAACATTTTAATCTCCTCAAATGGGATTTGGGAAGTACAGTACACGGTAACAATATATAAGCTTCACACAAGTAGCACCCCCAGGAACTGACCTCAGGTTCCCAGTTCTGCAAACAGCTTTGCTGACACTGTGCCACAATGTCACCCCGAGCTGGATTTCTTTCTTCCTCAATTCAGAAATTAAATTCGGAACGTCCCGTGTCTACCAAAATGAATCATCTCCGTGTCATTAACAGGCTTTTCCAACAGCCCCTATTGTTGTGTTGTAAATGCCTGCAGTGAATTAAAAAAAAGAAGATGAACTATAAAAGTCTTGATCAGTGGCAAAATTCCAAAATCGACGTCACTTTCTGATTAAAATAATCTACTGGTTAAATTAGAGGCTTTGATTCGATGATTAAAGACTTTTTTTCACAAAAAAGCATTCTGCCAGGTTAGCCTTTTGGAGCATCATTTCGCAGATACTAGCAAACCTTCAGCTCTTTGTCCATTGAACCATTCCAGAATTGCGTCTTCCACTTCCTCAATATTTGTTTTTTTTTCATTGATCTTCCCTTTGACTTACCGCCTGAAAAATCAAAGACGCTTGCTAGCAAAATCAACTCTAACATCATATACATATATTTTTAATTGCAAATTGTCCTTTCACTGCATGTACAATTAAGAATGGCTGTTCACCCATAATAACTTCTTATACATTGAGTTTTATTCAATTTCTATTACGTCTATTATTATGTAACCTTATTTTCGTCACCTTGATTTTGTGATTTTTGTGATTCTTGTGATTTTTGTGAGCTCGCAGAAAAGACATTTCATTGCCAGCAACTACTGCTGCACGCTGTATTGTTGTGCATTTGATAAATAAACTTTGATTTGGTTTGATTTTGATTTGATTAAGCTTCCATGTTTTTTTTTAATGTTTTTCTGGCAGTACATTTAACGAATCATCACGTCATGAACATACAATGGGATGATCAGTAGCACTGGGCTATTTGTGCTTATCCAATGCTCGTGGACAATGCGAAATCAGTTATAGTTTTAATCTTTCCGTCCGAGTCTGAGAATGTCTGTACCAGGTGTTGTAACAGACAAATAAGTTCTGGATCCCGAGATGACATGTAAACAGCTGAGTTTATTGCGTGCAAGGAACAATAAGATCGAAGAATTATTCAGAGAATTGTTGTAAAGCCCCTAGTATATGTAGCAAACTTTAGCCGTTTCTGACACAAATTGTTACTACTGTATGGTAATGGGGGGAGGTCACCTGTGTTCGGACATTCTCCAGACCTTTTGAACACTTGGAATGGCTGGTCTCTTCTTCCCACGGTTAGGGAGTCTCCAGCTCGCACTTGGAATCTCGTATCGGTTAACTCCCGTCCCTGCCATAACTCAAAAGTGCTGAAGCGTGGAATGTCTTGTACCAAAATAAGTCTTTGTGCAGAAAGAAATCAGTTTACCCTTTTTTTCACATCTTATATCTTGCTTCAAAGGGAATGCAAATGGCTAATTTTTGCATACTGTATATCAAAATGATCTGTATGCTTTATATTTAGCAGTATAACAGTTAATAGATTTTGAGCTAGTGATACATTTTGAATACAAGGTGCTTAATTTTTTCCATCCCCTGTACTGTGTGTCTTTGCTCCAGCGAACCTGGTCGGGTCAAAGTCCTCCCATGGAACTGAATGGTAGAAAACTCTTCCCCGATTTGAAAATGTTCTTGTTTTGCTTTTCAGAATCATATATCCGGAGCCTGCGGAGTAACTTCTCCAAAGAAAAAGAATATACCCAAGACTTGATAGGAATCCAGGTGCACAGGATTGGACCTGGAACCCTGGGCCGGATAACAAGGGCTGTGGGCATAAAAAGGAGCTCCAGCATGTAGCCCCTTTGAGACGTCAAGGGGGCCGTAACTCCTTTTGGACCTTTTCTGTCTTTAATGAAAGCGTCGGAACTTCATCTTTTTTAATCTCGGAAGTCAAGACGTCCATCCAGTTATTTCCTTGTGTTCCTTTCATGTGGCAGGCATGAAGCTGAATGTAATTAAAGGAAATTAAACAGAGGGGACTCTAGGGAGTGGATTCATTGGTCTTAGCTATGTGATGGGATTCTAGGTTTTTCGCAAAAACACGTAAGGGAGGATTGAGGGTGAAAGCGAATTTACAAGTAATTTGACTCAAGAAGTACTGGGTTATAGCTCTGAAATGGAGTTTATAACGAAAGTTCAGGAGGGATGACAACAACCACGCTCAATCATACTCAGCTGTCAGTAATTAGTAATCGCTCCAGTTATCCTTCCTCCCCTAAACACTATAAAAACGTGATTTCCTACTCTCCCTCGCGTATGACTTTTGCATCCCACTTCCACCCCAACTCCACCTCTGCAGCTACTCCTTGGTTATCCTGCGTGGGGGTCCTGGCCTCCTTGTCCTATGGCCAAGCGGGTTAAGCCAATATCCGGTCCATAATAGTTCATCACGCTTTGATCTTGGGTGTTGTTGTTCCTAGTGAAGTGCTTTTAGCTTAAATCTGGAAATTATATTCTCTGGGGCTGGCAACGCAAATGACTAAGAACTCCTTCATAGTTTCTAACACATTCATCAATACCCTGCTAAAGAATTTTGATTCTATATACAATTTGTATCTTCAATTGCAAATGACATATGATTTTGAAACATTAGATAACTCCCCACCTTCCCCCGGACCCATGGTGGCTCAGACAGCAAGGGTGTCTAGCTCTTGACTGGAAGGTCCTCGGTGTAATCCTAGGTAGGAGCAAGCAATTTACAGTAGCTTGCTCTAATTCCTTCCAGATGGCTCCCAGGTCCACTCAGCCTGCTTTCCAAATGAGTACCGGGGGTTAATCCTTCTGGGGGTAATAGGCCAACTGGAGTGTGATCTTAACCACATAACCTCCACCTCCAGTGTCGGATGGTCAAGAAAATGGTGGTCCTTGCCTCCCATTCCCCCATGAGCCTTTATGGCCTGAAAAGGGACCTACATACCACCTTCCATTATAATACAGTATGTGCAACATATGCATTGTGGGATATGGATATTGTTTTTGTGTTTTGACTGTGTTGCTTGATTTTTGAACATGAAAAGGATGACATGAAATTAAACAAGTTGAAGTTGGGCAGTATGGTTACGCAGTGGTTGCTGTTGTTGGACGAAAAGCTTTGTATTCATATCGAGGCTTGACTATTTTAGTAAAGACTTGCACAGCAGATTCACATGCAGTGTATTTTTTACTGAATTAAAAAAAAAGCATATCTTTTTGTTATTTTGGTTGCCAACTCCTGCTCTAAGTAAAGAAATGAGTTCAATTAAGTAACTCAGAGCAAAATGTTCTCAAAATTACTCATACGGTATTTACCACAAATGAACACATCATAACTTCAATCTCACCATGACATTCAACCCAACATTTGAGAATCACTCATCCTAGAGGGTATAGGAAGTTAAGTGAATATACAGTATAGTCACAAACAGTGCATCCATGCAATGCAGTAGTCATTCTGTACGTACAGATTCTCTCCACAAGAGTGCAGGACAGCAAGACTGATTTTTAATTAGTAAATGTGTCAAACCACTTGACATTCAAACAAGAATGGAAAAATGTTAACATCCCAAAATTTGCTGAAAAAACAGTGATAATGGTGTGAATGGTTTAGAAACAAATTGTTCACAATGAACAGTAGCTTGGGTCACCAGTGTCTGTTACCATGAAGGGCTTTGTGGTCAAACTGTTGGATTGGTACACAACGACAGGCATAAGTCAACGGATGCCATACTGTAGATGCCATTGTAGGTATGTCATTGTGCAGGACATACAATGATCCACACAGTGGGAGCCATAGAGTTTCACTGATTGATACACACTGATACATTTACATCTCCGGTGATACGCAAGACAGGTTACAAAATGAATGGAGTCAACGTATCGAACAGAAAATAATGGGAATGTGCATTTGCCAATTGCAAGCAGACCTCCACTCAAACACTCAGTATCACCCACATCATACATCTTCAAGCCATGTTCAAATGCCGAGAATGGGATGATTGCAATATTCTTAGAAGGGACCATCAATGTGGCCAAAACACAGTCAAGGCCACAGTGCAGTATATAGAGGAGATTGGTGTTGAACTGTTAACCCACTCGCCTTAATATTGGAATCTTGCACGCCTGGATTTTCCTCTTTAATCCCATGTAGGTCACTCTCTGAACTCGAAACAGCAGTGATGACAGGTACAGTGGCTCTACAGGGAAGGCTCCGGGACCAGGAAATCCCATTTTTATATTAGAGCATTCATACCCTTGTCAAGCCACAGTAGAGGTGTTTAGATGTCATTCCAAATGTTCAAGTGTATTGGCTTCATGAATTATATGTACACTTTACTTACCTTACACTGATCCAAGACCATGTATAGTTATGGTAAACCAAAAGGATAAACACAAAAAGCATTTTGTAATGTGTCCAACATTGTAACATGGTAGCCAGTTGTTCCAGTTACAGTATGTTCCAATTGTATATCTGTTTAATGCTACAAGTATGAAGAATATTAGAAGAAGGCAGACTAGAGGAATCCAACCTGCACAGCTTGCTGATTTTCGGTAGTTGACTAGGTAAGTGAAACTAAAACGTAAGCCGTTTTTCAAAGGGGTTTAGAGTTTTGGTCTCAACTAGCTGGCCACAACTCCTTGAGTAAAGAACGCTTCCTCATTTTCAGCCCTAGATGAATTCCCAATTATTTTCCAAATGTGAACCCTTGTTTGTTTTCCACTACTAAGTATGCAATTCTCCTAGAAAATCCCTGGATTCACCCTATCTTTACTGATCTGGATTTTATTCACCTGAGTCCAATTTCCTCTCTACAGTATCTCCCTTGTCCCAGGCATAGACCAAAGAGATTTTGCTCTCTTAAAAATGTCTGTTTATGACAATTCCTGAAGACTAAAATCACTCTTATTGCTCTTTTAAAGATATAACATACTTTTTAGCATGGTAACTAAAACTGAAACTGAACACAATATTGTTTATTAGTTCTTAGCAGAGCTTCCTGGGTATACAGTGAATTTCACACTCAGTCCTGTAAACTGAAGCATTTTTTACAGCTTTCCC